TTACCCAGTATTTTTGACTTTTATAAAATGTGGCTACAAAGGCCAGCAGGTGGCATGGCGGTTACAGCGCTAGACTCCCACATGACTGACCATGGTTCAGGTCCTGAACCTGGTGGCCTGAAGATCCCACCAGGTGCACGTGTGTGTGGGCTCCAGATCCCAGGAAGAGAATGGAGGGAGAAGGGATTGTGGTGTGGCCATCACCCCAGGACACAACTTCTTACTTTCCCTCTCACTCTCTCTCTCTGGGGAGCACACACATTCTATGGCAGAAACATTAAAAAAATAGAGAGAAAGGGAGAGAAAACAAAGTGTGGCTACTAAAAAATTTTAAATTATATACATGAATGATATTATATTTCTATGTCACAGAGCCTCTTTAGACACTGCTTTTCATAAAGAGAGTATATAATTTTGGAAATCATATAATTGAAAGATATTGTTTAGGAAGATCATGGTTGATAGAAAGAGACAATCAAACATTACTAATGGGGCATTTTTACCTTACTTGCGGTGGTGGAATTCCTACCACTATGCAATCCAACTGTACTCGGGTTCCTTCTGGAACTTCCCTGCTCCGTAACTTTTGAGTGAACCGGGGAGGTTGCCCCAGAGGTTCTTCATAGTACAAAGATGAAGGTGAAGACCCTGGGGTGGTGTCTCCACCAGCTGCCTCACTGGCAGCCTGCTCAGCTTCACGCCTCTTGGCTTCCTGCTGTTCAAGGGCATGATTCACTTCATTATCCCGGGTATCTGCGGGAATAGGGATGGGAACAGAAGATCGTTCTCGTCTTTCTGACAGATCTGAGAAACTGGCACTGTTTTCCTGCATAACTTTGCTTTGAGATTCCAATTTACTCTTGTGGTTTTTGCAAGCACGAGGTCTAATCCTTTTGGAGCTATGGGCTTTGAAAAGAGAGGATAGCTCTTCGATGAAATCGGCAGCCTTATTTAAGAATACTTTCTTGGACTGGGTTTCAGAACTATACTGTGGCCTTTTTGCCTCCTGGGGGCTCTCTTTAGAGCTGGTAGGACTTCGAGGGTTATCCTGGCAGAAGTTAGGCTCAAAGCTTGGTTTAGATAAGTATTTCATCTGATCAGAAGAAAGACGTTTTCTAGCTTGAGCTTCATCAGCTTTCTCCAAAGGGTCATGATTGATGGCCAATCTTGCCAGATTGACACTTTCATCTAATTCTTCTTGACTCAGAAAGGCTGAAAGATCTGGAAGGTCATCTTGGCCTCCTCCTTCAGCAGCCCCAGAAGGACTGCCGAAATGGAAAGGGTTGGAGGAAGGCTCTGCTCGACTCCTCTCGTTGTTTCCCCGATGTCTGGTTTCAGCTAAATAGCTCTCTCTTAGAAGCTGAGATATAGATGTAGAAGCTTCTATGCTGTCGTCTTGCATGCTGTCACAAAACAAAGTAATAATAATAAAATGTTTGGATCATATCTAAGGAATAATAAGTCTATGTTTATTGTAGTATGACTGATTCTTAAGAATTTAGAGTTCAAAATTTTAAAAATGCCCAATTTAAATAATTTCACAGAATTTAAAGACTTAAAGATTACTCTCAAATAATAAAATAAATAACTCAGAAACTGAGCCAAGTTTCTAAGAAATTAGAAATAAAAACCTCAATGATTACCACTTTAATAACTGTTTAAATGCAAGTTGAATTGTGAAAGTTATGACATAACTATGGTGACATTGAATATAATTTCTAAGCCTAATCTGGATAATATCTGTAAGGGCCTCTTAGTTTTAAAGTACTTTCATCCACACAGAGTTGCCCTCCACCCTTTCCTCTTTACCAGTAATGCCACAGAATTATAGAAATTAAAAGATACTGACAGGCCCAGCCATGGTAGTACATGCTAGTTGACACTGCTACTCAGCAGAATGAGGCAACATGGGAGACCACGATTCCCTGCCCAACTGAAAAAGCTGGTGGCTGTGGCATGTGCCTGTAGTCCCAGTTACTTGGGAGGCTGAGGAGACAGGAGGATTGTGACATAGCAAAACCCTGTCTAAAAAAAAGAGAAAGAGGGAACCAGCAGTTAGCGTAATGGCTATGTCGCTGGACTCCCACGTAGTCGACCGCGGTTCGCGTCCCGGACCCCGTGGCTTAAAGCTCACGCCAGGCGCGAGTGTGTACGTGCCCAAGATCCTGAGAGGAGAATGGAGGAGAAGGGATTGCGGCGTGACCATCCCCCCTGGGGGGTGATTTCTCGCTTTCTGTCTCTATGTCTCTCTCTGTCTGTCTGGCGAGTGCACGCGCCCTATAGCGAAAAAACCTCTCCAAAAAAAAAAAAAAAGAAAGAAAGAAAGATATTGACAACATAATCTCATCTAGTTCCTGGAATAACAGACTTGATCTAGCTCAAAAAAATAAGTAATGCTTTTCTTTTTTTGACTAGAGACAAACTGTTTAAATTCAACATTGTTTAGGCTGGGTCAGCTCTGGAAAACTGATGATTTAGCCTCTTCATATAAGGTTACAAAGATATGAATTAGAGCCCAGGTTTTTTAAAAAAAGTCCCTTAAATTAACATTGACTTAGAGAGATTTTAGAAGATAGCAGAATGGGGTGCGTGGAAGAAGGCTTTTTACTGTGTACCCTTTCTAACTTTAGACTTTTAATGGATGATTATATTACCCATTCTGAAATAAAATAAATATTTTTTAAAGTCAAGAAAATAGTGCAATAATGCAAGCTAACTTTGTATCATTGATATTATTCCCATTTATTCGTTCAAATGTTTATTAGAGGGATGGCAGAACTGTGACTCATAGGCTGTTCCTCCTCTCTCTCTTCCTTAAAAGATACAGCTCACTATTTACAGCTCTCGTCCCATTTACCCCACTTTCTTAACACTCCACTCCTTTAGCCACTACCAGTCAATCAGAGATGGTAATGAAGATAACTACCTGCCAATCTTGGCTACCATGTGCTGGGGCTTGTGCTAGGAAGAAGAAAGTATTTTTCTGTGGCATACTCTCACAATGTTCCCTGAGGATATTCCACATGGGAAGGTTCTCGGTTCAAGTTTAGCGATCTCCTTGAGTATGCAAGGCCCATGTCTGTCTGTGGTCTAGGGCTGGCCAAGAAGTCTGTAGGTGAATCATGGCATCAGACCCTATTGATTCTCTCTTCCCTCTCTGTGTCAGCTGATGTTAGTGTAAAACAATACTTTGATGAAGTTGACATTAATGTTGAAAATTTATTTTTATGGTGGAAATGGAAAAGAAAATATATATTTTACATGAGCAGAGTAGAGTATTACTGCTCTCTGCAGCCAGCTATTTTTTTTTTTTTCTTTTTTAAAGAAGCCAATTTTGGTGTCAATGCATGCTTGTTTTTATGTTTATGGTCATGTAAAATTATTATGATAACAAAACTTTTATTCAAAGTATAGGATTTTGCTTTATAGTTTTCAGAGCAGGTGTGCTCACTGGAGGACAGGGACAGAGTGAGGGAAAGTGAGAAATCACCCCTCAAAAGGGATGGCCATACAATCTCTTCTCCATTTTCCTCTTAGGTTCTTGGGCATGCACATACATGGGCCTTGTGTGATTTTCAAGCTGCCAGGTTTCTCAAAATGTTGTTGGCCCTGTGAGAGTCCAGTACCTTAACCACCACACTACCTGCTGGCCCCCAAAGTAGAGGATTAAAAAACATATTTTGTAATGAAGTATTTATGACCTAATACTTTGATATGAAATAGAACTGGTTGAGATCCTAGTTCTAACACTTTTTAGCTTTAAAAACCTGAGAAAGCTTTCTTTTTTAGAATGATTTATTTAATTTTATTTATTATTATTATTATTTTAATTTGCTATAGGACAAATGCACTCACTAAAGAGAGACAAAGACGGAAAATGAGAAAGTGAGCCGCCAGGTTTGAGATTCAAACTGTGGTCGGCCATGTGGGAGTCCAGTACCTTTACCACTATACCCCCTAGTGGCCTCTAAAACTTAAGATAAATTTAACCTTTGTAAGCCTCAGTTTACTCATCTGTAAAGCAGGAATAATGACAGTAGCCATCTCGTAGTTTAAAGTGATGATTAAAGGTGCTTGGAAATTTAGTAAATATTTAATAAATGGTAGTTCCTATTATAATTATAGTAGTTATAAGCGCATCACTCTGGCTACATATCATGGTCTCCACTTTATAGATTAAAAAAATGGAGGTAGACTCTATTTAGTAAAAGGGGGAATGGAGAGAGAAAAAATTGTTTCAGAAGAAAATTACAGTGCAAATGTCACTAGATCTTAGCTTTGTCCATATTTTTAGTATAATTAAGATCTTTTGTGAAACAACGAAGTGTGAAAAAAAGTTTAGTATGGAAGGGAGGGAGGGAAAATAAAAAAATGTAAAAGTATGTTTAATTGACAAAAAAATGAGAAGCTATTTGCTGATGATCATGTATATAGTAATATCTTCATCTTGATGTATGCTATCCATGCTAGAAAAAGAAATGTTGTATACTGTAAAGATATATGAGATTAAATGTAAATAAAAAGAAATGGAGGTAGAACTAACTAGTGACCTGTCCAATAAAATCTTTGAAGAGAAACTGAACTTAAATTTGTCAATTCAGCATCTGTATTGGGTCATTGGAAAAATCATGACTCATTTTTGCAAAGAAAACCAGAAAAGGACGTCATGACTTTCCTGACGACCTAATGCATTCTATTGAAATACAGTCTCATGAATGAACTGTGCGTGGGAACCAGCAGTTAGCGTAATGGCTATGTCGCTGGACTCCCACGTAGTTGACCACGGTTTGCGTCCCGGACCCGGTGGCTTAAAACTCATGCCGGGCGCGTGTGAGTGCGTGCCCAAGATCCCAAGAGGAGAATGGAGGAGAAGGGATTGCGGCGTGACCATCCCCCCTGGGGGGTGATTTCTCGCTTTCTGTCTCTATGTCTCTCTCTGCCTGTCTGGTGAACACATGTGTCCTATAGCAAAAACCTCTCAAAAAAAACAAAAAAAAGAAAGAATGTAAAGACTTTGAGTAAAAAAAAAAAAAAAAAAAAAAGACTGTAAAGACTTTGATATAAGCCAAAGGTGAGGAGGCCATTCTCTTATTATTGTCTTAATCAAATTGATAAAGCTGAGAAGGCAAGAAAGAAAGTAAAGATATTTTATTTGAGTGGGAGAAAGAAAGACTGGCTACTAGGAAACATATTATGCATATTTTTATACCCAGAAAAGAATAAACAGGCATGAAAACCCTAGCATAAGGTATACTGAAGCCAGAGTCTCAAATTACCATTTCCTTTGAAAGATGGCAAAGAATAGCATAAACTAAGTTCTAAGTCCTATAGATGGGGTAATGGAAGTCAAGCAAGAAGCCTTCAGGAATCCAGGATCATAAAAGGGGAGTTGGCTGGTAGGTACAGGAAGTTTTACATCACTCTCATAATCTCACCATTCACAGTGAACTGAGCTGCTGTGTGGAAAACCTCAAATTAGAAATCTCTGTCAGTCCTCATTAACTCAAATATTTCTTCTTAAAAAAAAATATATATACATATATATGTGTGTGTGTATATATATATATCAAACACTTCCATTTAGCCTCTTACCAATTGTGTCCATTTTTTTGGGGGAGGTGGTGTTTAAAGATGAGAAAAAATATAACTTTCCTAATGAAATTGACATATGTTTGTTAGACTGAGAGGACTAGGTGCCCTAGATAGGTTTGGAATCTCAAGATCTAGCTCTGTTCCAGTGTTTGGTGGGAAGGCTCTGCCGGACCCCTTGTTGAGCATGGAGTGCATTGAGACACCCAGTGGAGGGTTATGTCCCAGGCAGCCTGACAGAGCTTCTCAAGGTGACTCATTATACATGAGTTCTGAGGACTCTTTAGTGACCTCAGGTAAACAGTCACACCAACTTTTGTTTCTACCAAAAACGTATCTGCCAAAACTACATTCTTAAATTTCTATTATTATTATTATTTGGAGAGGTTTTTGCTATAGGGCACATGTGTTCACCAGAAAAACAGGGAAAGACAAAGAGACAGAAGCAAGAAATAACCCCCCAGGGATGATGGGCATGCTGCAATCCCTTCTCCTCCATTCTCCTCACGCGCCCGGCGTTGAGTTTAAGCCACTGGGTTCAGGACTCCAATCGCGGTCAACTACATGGGAGTCCAGCGACATAGCCATTACACCAACTGCTGGTCCCACATTCTTAAATTTCTAAACAGACTCTTCTGTCTATACTTGAATTGTTTTCGTTAAGCAAATGCTCAATGCTATAGTGGTTTTACATGCACCTTATCCACTATGAAGCACCAAAGAAATTTAGGAAACTATTTCCCCATGATGCTTGATTCTTTTTCGTTGCCTAGAAGAGGGAAAAAGCTGCTAAGAAAACCCTTCCATTTTTCTATCTTGTTATAGGCAATACCACACGAGACCAGCATTACCTTTGTCAAGTCTCAGTGTGAGTGAAGGAAACAAATTACTCTGGAGTTAGGAGTACCATTTGTCTTATATTTCAGGTTATTGTTCCTGTTATGTATAGGAACCATTGTTGAAAAAGCGAGCCGTCAGTTTTTTCACATAGTAGCATTTGTTCACTAAAGCTCTTTCAAAATGGAATCCAGTTTATCTGCTGTTCCATTTATTCAAAAGAAAGTTTGCAAAAATTCTATCTACAAATTCCCAAGCCAGCATGCATAAAAATTCGTTCAGTTCCTGGTGGTATGAATTGCAGTTCTGAGTCTATTAAACTGAATGCCTTTGTAAGCACGTTGTAGCAGACATGTAATAGACTCTACAGTGTAAGTCATAACTATGGAAGACTGGAGTTTTTACACATTATTATGAGTCTCAGTACCATTAGTCATAGACTATATGTGGGATAGAGACAAACTTCTAGTATTTGGATAGTGTCCAACTGCTTGTTTCATGGTCCATTATTATAAGATTCTGTAATGCCTATAATTTTTCCTCTGGACACCTCCGTAAGTATAGTGTCCCATGTATTTCAGGATCCCTGGGACAGCATCGATTATAGGTATTATGCTTGTTGTCAAATCATGTGTCAGATAGTATATCTTAGTTTCTGCTTTTAAAAAATGTTTACTATAGCTATAAGTATAGACATTCTTAATTTCCTAAAAAGGGTTTATGGATTTTATGTGAACTTAAGAGTGACTATTAAGAAGAGACGATAAAGTTAAGACAAATGTCTAAGAGTTTGTAGAATTCATTTTATTATGACTAAGATGAAAGTAATTTCATCATTATAATTTTTGAGAAAGAAAACTAGATAGCCGTTTAGTTTCTTTCAAACTCAATGATGCTGGTATCTTTAATAAGTATGTAAAAATATGTAGTTGTGGTAATAAAATCTCTTAACATTATTACTGTAACATTCACTTTTTGAGACTGGGAATACAGAATAATCCATCTTCTCTCTTTCTTTGTTTATACGGTTTTTAAAATATAATTCAAGATGTGCATCTAATTACTGCTAATAGTGCAATGTACCAGGCCAAACATTTGCCACTGACTGTCAAATGTCTTTCTGATACAGCTTAAGAGGGAGAGAGAGAGAGAGAAGTAGATTCACACATACACACACACACACACACAGAGAGAGAGAGAGAGAGAGAGAAAGGAGAAAGAAAGAGCAAAGTCCCTTGAGCAAGAGTTTCTGCAGCTGTTGTGTACATTAATCCAGGGAGCAGATCTTCCAACACTAAATATAGCAAGCATATCCTTTTACATGATGAAAAAAATTTAAATGAAAGTCTTTAACCATGGAATTGTATTAATTTAGATTTTATTTCCTTTAAAAAGGAACTAGGCATTTCACGCATATTCTGTATACACACATTATCTTGGTAAAGGAATATGGAAAATGCCCATGATATATGCAGCATGTCACAACTCCCTTTGTTGAGATATTTTTCCTTAGGTCTCAAATAGGCTGTGATCTTTGCCTTATCAATTTTATCTAAAATGTCTACATGTAGAAAGCTTTTTTTTTTTCACTTATCTTGTTTTTGGTCTCATCATACATAATTAGAAAGTTATCCTAGATTTCACTCTAAGTAACAGCAATTAGCTCTCTGAAATAGCTCTTTTATCATTGTTAGTGCCCTGTTATCAAAACACACTTGCGAACTGAAATCTGGATATTACCTTTCTTTTTTTAGTTGACCCAGATGAGGATGTCCAACCCAGGCACTCCTCTGCGATGATAATTATCCAAGGAGAACTTTTAGATGAAAGCACAGGAGAAAAGGAAAATTCTTCACGCCCTTGGAAATAGAGAGTAGCCGTCCATAGAGAGTGAGGAGTTAACCTTAGTTTCGGTGAAGATGGCTGTAAGAAGCTGGGCAACCTGTCACCACCGGAGCCAGAGCATTTGTCAGCTCACAGGTCCCAAGTTATTTTGAGCTGTATAAACCATGTGCCTGTGAAACATTCCACCTGATTGGATAGGAGAAAACTGAGCAAAGGGATTCCACAGCAAGACAGCACCTATGGAGGGTGGGAGTTAGTTTTTCTACCTATAGAATTTCACTTATAGCTAGAGGCCCATGCTGTTTATTGATCTATGTTGGGTATTAATACTAAAGGCATTATACCACATTCCATCTGTCAAAAAAATGGCATTATTATTACTTTTTAATATGTCAAAAACTTGTAATTCTCAAGAGCCTTAATATTTTGTTTGTTTTTTTCCTTTGTTTTTGCTAGAGGGCATGTGCACTTGCTAGAGAGAGATAGTGACAGGAAGTGAGAAATCACCCCCACAGGGAGGATGGCCACATTGCCATCTCTTTTCCTCCATTCTCCTCCTGAGATTTTTATTTATTTATTTTTAGAGATTTTTGCTATAAGGTGAGTGCGCTTGCTGGAGAGACAGAGACAGAAACAGTGAGTAATCACTCCCCAGGGGAGATGGCCATGCCACAATCCCTTCTCTTTCATTCTTCTCTTGGGATTTTGAGCATGTATGTACACACGCCTGGTGTGAGTTTTAAGTCACTGGATCTGGGACTCGAACCGCAGTCAACTATGTAAGAGTCCAGTGATGTAACAATTACATCATTTGCTGGTCCTCCTCATGAGATTTTAAGCATGTGTGTAGATATGCCCAGTGTGATATTCAAGCCACCAGGTCCAGGACTTGAACCACAGTTGGCTACGTGAGAGTCTAGTGCCTTAACCCCTATGCCACCTGCTGGCCCTGTCAATTTTTATTATTTCTTTAAATTTGCTATAGGGTATATGTGCTCACCAGAGAGAAACAGGGGCTGCGGGGAGTGAGAATGCACTCCCCAGGGTGGATGGCCATGCTGCAATTCCTTCTCATCCATTATTCTGGGATTTGGGGCACATGCACATATCCCTGGCATGTTTTCCAAGCTGCCTGGTCCTAGACTCAAACTGCTCAGTCAGCCATGGGGAGATCCAGCTACCCTAACTACTATGCCACCAGCTGGCCCAAGAGCCTATATTTAATCAATGGGAAATTTACTCCTATGTAATCTCTGACACATTTTAGAAAATTTGGCTATGACAAGCCAATTTCAAGTTGAGGCCTAATGTCTTAAAGTTGAGAGCTTTTTTGGAACTGTTTGTCTAAATGCTAAGGAAAAGCAGAGAAGATAATTCATGTTAAAGCTTGATAATTAGAGATAATAGAGAAAATGGAGAGGAAAAAAACATCAGCTTGAAAATAAACCCAGGAATAAATTAGTTTCAATAAACTTCATAAAAAAAAATCAAATAGTAATTTAAAAATCAAAATGACCATAAATATATTATATATTATAACTCTTATTTGTATATTAGTAGCTGGGGATAACTTTTTGTGATTATCTTGAAGAAGTCAACCTTTTTCAAGTATCAGTCAGTAAGAAAAAAATCTTTAACCAGACAACATCTGTTTAAATGCTTTGTGAACGTGTAAGGTCTTTGATGTTAATTTCATACATTTTCAGAATATGAGTTTGGAAAGAAGTTAAGCCCATTGCTTAGTACAGATTAAGTGATGCAATAGCTATAACATTATCAGTCCTGGTTGAAGCTTTAGGTTTGAAAATTTAGACTTAAATGTCAGTGATTATTTTTAAAAAAGACAATTGTTGTCTTTTGTTTTGTTATGTTTTCTAGTTTTTACTTTAGGGTACATGTGCTTGCCAGAAAGGGAGTGGGAGGAGAGTGATTTGCCAACCCCCCCCCCACCATCACCCCAGGATGGCCATGCTGCAATCCCTTTCTTCCATTCTTCTCTCAGGATTTTGGGCAAGCATGCACATGGACTTGGCATGTTTTTAAGCCACCAGGTCCAGGACTTGAACCTTGAAGTTGGCCATGTGGGATCTAGCCACCTTAACCCTTGAGTCACCTGCTCGTCCACAATTCTTACATTCTTACAGCATGAAATACCTTGATTCAACCTCAGCTTTCTTAATTAAATCACTGCTTAGAGGGTATCTTCCCATTCATTCATTATTCATTGACAAATTGCTTAGTGCTTGTCATGTACAAGGTACTGGGTATAAAACATTGTATGAAACACACAAAAATTTCTGACCTCATGGAATTCACTGAGAGATCTTTATCCTCTCAGTCATCTTGAGACTATTAATAGTACATTGAATAGATATAAAATTTCTTGGCCTGCCACAGTGGGGCAGCAGTAGCATAATGCTCTGCAAGTTGGAAGTCATATGGAAGGCTGGGGTTCAGTTCCTGGTTTGACTTTTACATGGCAGATCATCACACCTACCTATCATCCTGGCTAGCTGGGGGAAGTTTCACGGTGTGAGACCTTATTGAGGATGCTTCTGTCTCCTCTCTTTTTTATGAAATAAAGAAACTTTGAAGTTTTTCTCTTTGTTTTATTGTGAACACATCAGAAGTTTCACTCCACCTTTTGGTTATGCGGTGGTTTATTTTATTTTTATTTTATTTTTTAATGTAGTTTTTACTATAGGGCACATGTGCTTATGAAAGAGAGAGACAGAGAGAGAGAGAGAGAGAGAGAGAGAGAGAGAGAGAAAGTGAGAAATCTTCCCCCTGCTGTCCAGGGGGAATGGCCATGCCACAGTTCCTTTTCCATTCTTCTCTTGGGATTTTGGGCACACACCCACATGTGCCTGACATGATTTCCAAGCCACCATCCCAGGACGCAGACCATACAGGTAGCCAAGTACAATCCAGAGTCTTAACCTCTGTGCTACCTGCTGGATCTGTGGTGGTTTAAAATTTACATAGGCAAAATAAAAATGACAATTGAGGAAAGCATTTAAATAATTCAGATCAAAAGCTATTACTTAGGAAAGGGGTACAAGAAGAACTGAATTATCTAGACTATTCTCATTACCACAATATCCCAGATCTTTAATGTACAGGCTAATTTGTTCTCTTACTTAATCCTGTGCTGATACTAACATCAAGACTAATTATGTTTCTGCATTTTCTATTTATATGGACACTCCAACAACTTTTTTTCCTTTTCTTTTTTCTTTTCTTCTTTTCTTTTCTTTTTTTTGGAGAGGTTTTTGCATGCACTCACCAGAAAGACAGAGAGAGAGAGAGAGAGAGAGAGAGAGAGAAAGCAAGAAATCATCCCCCAGGGGGGATGACCACACCACAATCCCTTCTCTTCCATTCTCCTTTGGATCTTGGGCATGCACACACACGTGACTGGCGTGAGTTTAAGCCACTGAGTCTGGGACTCGAACCACGGTCGAATACATGGGAGTCCAGCGACATAGCCATTATACCAACTGCTGGTCCCACTCCAACAATTTTTTTAAAGAACTATTTTATTCAACTATTTATTACTATTATTTTTTTATTTGACCAGAGAAAGACAGAGAGAGAGGGAAAGTGAGAAAGCAAGCCGCCAGGTCCGGGACTTGAACTGCAGTCGGCCATGTGGAAGTCCAACCCCTTTAACTACCACGCCACCTGCCAGCCTCCAACAATTTCTTGATAAGAAATGTCTTTTCTTTTTATTCATTATAGAGTGCATGTGGGCACATGTGAGTGTGAGAGAGAGAGAAATAAGTACGCTCTGTAGAGTCTGGTCGCATCATGATCCCTTTCCTCCAGTCTTCCAGCCCGCTGGATCTCAGGCACTCTCACATATGCCGAATGCCAGACGCTGACCAAGTCAGAGCCTGGAACCGTGGTGCCATGTGGGATCTAGCTTCTCTTGAGAAGCGCATTACCTCTTTGCCACAGAGTTAGTCCAACAATTTCTTTTTATTCAAAGAGAGGCTCTTCCTCCATTACCTTACTTGGATTTTAAGCCTTAATTGATGTTAAGTGCTGCTAGGTCTTGGATGAGGACATGGAAAATAGAACCCATTTCAGATAACTACTACCTCTGCCACAAACTGATCTTCCAAAGAGAATTGCTAACACATACTATAAGGGGACGCATTTTTCCTTTCCTGCAAATTGCCATGACAGTTCTCATATCCTATTTTTCACCCAGGTACGGAATACTGAGGATGGAAGGGACCCACACTAAGAGAGAATAGAGTTGGTTGGGCAATGGAATGAAATGGAATTTAATTCTTCCATATGAACAGCTAAAATAGGTTTGCAATAGAAAAGTTACAGAAAAACTGAGACAAAGAGATTCTGAATGGCAATAGTCATTTTTTCCCCATTTTTATAGTAATGTTTTCACAGATAGTATACAAAACTTTTTTGCACTCTTTGAAAAAACTGTATAAGTACTTTATGTAAACAATACTCAGCAATTGTGGCACCTTGCTTACAATACATCAATGTCATAGTTTAGATTTTAGTTCCTTAAAAATTAGTTTCTGCTCCAAAAGAACCTAGTTCTTACTTTCCTTATCATCAGTAGTGACTTTATAGACATTATATCACAAACCAGTTAGTTCAGATTTTACCAGAATACATTGATACAAAAAATCATCTTTAAAACTTTTTAATATCCAGCATAGTTAAAAACCAAACTTCATAAGTGACAAGCAAACGGAAGGTTACATGCCTTCCCTATAAAGTAAAGGGCCCATCTAAGACATATATTTATTGTGGTTTGAACATGCTCCCATGCTCGCTTGCCTTCAGCTGTTTTCTTAATTCAGTCATTCAGCTACAGAAATAATTTACTCACGTTGGGATGATCCA